CAGCCCCCGGGCACGCCGAAGTGGGTACGGCAGCCCGCCGGGGTGGGGGGGTGCCGGGCTGGTCCCTCACGGTGCGGTGCGGAGCGGAGCGGAACGAGGCGCCCGCGCTTGTAATGGACACGCTGTAATTAGCGTTGGTGTTAACCTGGCATGGGTTAGAAGAAAATTTACTCGCCCCCCCCCCTTCTGCCCCGAGTCCGAAGCGGAGCTCTAAGAAAACCGTACTTCTCAATTTTGCCAGCTACAACCGCAGCGATGGGCAGGGTTGGTAGGCGTTTCACGCTTACCAGTTTGCGTTTTCGCTCCCCCAGGTACTCGCAAAAGCCGGCAGCTGCCTGCCCCGCGTCCTCTTCTCTCTGACCCCCGACAAGCCGGTGACAGCAGCAGCCAGGTGCACCAACTGCTTTTGAAGAAAATGCAAGAAGTCTGGCAGAAAACAACAGTGTAATAACCTTCCCAGAGGGAGTTTCTTACTAAGCTCTAGCCCACAGTGAAGAATTTATTCCTTGTTTTTAAAAAAGTTTTATCCTGAAGCTTGTTAAGATCTCATTGTTTTAAAAGAAGTGGATGCTCAATACCTTCTACGATCTGTTTCCTTTGCCAGGCTTTAACTGGGACAAGCCTTGCCCTTTGCTGTTGTTCACCTCGTGCTAGCTGTTCTTTAATGTGCGTTAGAAATTGTAACCTGAACAGTTCAGCAAAGTAAGCCTGGGGAATGATACTAGGTTGAAGTACTGTGGCAATGGTCTCTTCGAACCACCTCGGGGGTCCTGAGCTCTGCAGTGAGAACTCCATTTGACATGCAGCGTAGCTTCTGTGTCCCTAACAAGACTAAATGGTCTTTTATTTCCTTCCCCCCTCCAGAAAGTGGGGACAGGACGGGTCACGGCAGCTGTTCTGTCAGGGCTCTCCATCCTGATCAGTGCGTACATTTCTGTCCTCACTGAGTAACTGCATACGTTACCCTCAGCTCAGGACTACCAGAATAGAGGCACTTTCCCCATCATGGTCTCTTTTGGCAGGGAATTTTTCTGCTCTAAACCAAGCAAAGCTAGGTTGGACGGAAAATTGAGGAGGACGCTTCTGTTTTGTGACGCCTATGACGTGGCCACATGGAAGAGAAAGTAATTCACCACTATACAGGGAGGAGAAAGTAATCCAACACAACAAAGAGAAGGTAAAGCTGATGCCAGCAGAGCAGAGCCAGTTATGCAGGAACGAGCACTCTGGTGTGGCTGGAATGGCAGGACGGGTTGGAGAGTGGATCCAGACCTGCTGCTTCACAAAGGCAACTGCAGAGAGAGGCTAGGCTTCAGAGCAACTAGGTGTGTTTGGGTAATGAGACTGGGATCAGGAGTGGAAAATGTAAATTAGCAGTCTGTAAAATAAACAGTGAACTGAGATTGGGAAATGGAGGAGGTTTGGGGAAAATACGGTGAAATTAAGCTGCCTGGGCTTACAGATAGAGTATGAGCTTGTGAGATGAGGGTAAAGACTCAGTGAACAGCCTGAAGAGATGAGTTGCAGTGAAAAGAACGTGAAGGGAATAAAAATAATCTTCACATCAAGGAATGAACTTGAGGCCTCTGATTTCATGTATATAAAATCATATCTTTCCTTACAGGACTATAAATTCACTCATACTTCTGAAGAACACGCATATTAAATGATTACGCAGAAATGAACAAGTCTGCCTCTGGAGGATGGTTTGGCTATCATGTAATAAATAAGAACTGAAGACACACCTTGAACAAAAGGGGAAATAAAATACCAACCTCATCAAGAAATAATGCACATTCTATGCACCAAATGCAATAGAGGTCTAGTGGAAAAGTAGTACCTAATCTCACAGTTAACTCAAACAAACAGTCTTAATCTAGCATTTCTTGATATATTTAAGTGCTGGACCTTGCAACCTTAATAATACTCTTTCAGCTTAGGATTTGTGGGGCCCTTTTGTCTGTGTGTTTATATACATGGCTATTCTTCCTGTCTTGAATCTGACTCAGTCATTTACCCCAGTGATAAAAATGATCACTGAGATCCTTCAGTTCATTAGGCTTATACATAAAAAGACATGTCTTTACCAGTATTAGAATGTTTGCCTCTCGATTCCTTTGAATGTTTTTTTTCCTCCTGTATTAGCAATGAGTAAATAAGACCGCCTGTCTTTGCTGTATTTTACATTCTGCATGTTTTTAACATGCCCCTTTGTCCTTTTTTGTTACACTGTTTGAATTTTATTTTTTTCTTCCGTGCGATGCTTTTTCACATTCTTAATCTGTCACCATCCCACACCACACACATGCACACGTTCACACACTTCGTTTCTGCTTTTGATAGTTTGATATTTTCAACAGGCTCTTTTAATACATTCCCTCTCTTTATGAAGTATATGTTATCAAATGTATAGATACTGTTTTAGTTTTTAGTCACATGAAAGGTGCAAAGCCTCCTGTACTATGGCTTAGGGCTTGCTAAATTTACTAGTATAACTTTATCAGTATGATATGGTAATCTGGCATCGAAATGTCTGCAACTGGATGAAACTCAAACTTGTCAATTCAAGAAATGCGTATGCCACAGTGCTTAGACCTGGGACGCTGCCACCAAGTCCTTGCTTCTCTTGATTCATAGGCACTTTTTATACTAGATCATTCTGAATTGTGCTGCAGGAATTTGAATATTGGTCTTTCACATTCTAGACTACAGAGGCAAAATAAGATAAATGTTCTGATCTTTGCTACAATTTGTAATTTCTAGTCCTATGAAAGCATAGGCCCTAATTACACCTCCTTTAACTGAAATATCAGCAGAATTACTTCCTAGGCATTTTACTTTCAGCTGAAAGAAGCAAAATCACCCTATTTAGGGTGATTAGGGCTCAATTTAGGAAATTAAGACTTCAAACCTGTAAAGGTATTATTTTCTTATGTAGAACAACCTTGAAATTTAAAAGAATAAAGCAGCCTGCAATTTTGGAAAAAAGCATCAGTCTGCCATGCCTAAGGAGCTCAGTCTGTTTGGTGTGAGCATAATTACTTGGTGTGAACCTGATGATTCTAGTATTAGGTTCTTCTGCCAGTGGTTGTCACCTCTAAAGTGGTTAAACTCGCCAAACTCTGGAAAAATATCAGATTTTCATCTTATAGTGAAAAAATACCAGTGACCGAACTTCTAGAAGGAACCACACACTGTGTCACTAAGCACCAACTCTGAAAAGTGATTTTCTCATACTGCTAGTCACAAAATGGTGTTTCACAATTCTGTCACCCACTCACTGTAATTATCAATTAGACTAAGCAAAACCAGATAACATTAGATAGAAATTAAAGTGCCTTGAGGTTTAGAATGTAAACCTTTACGGATGGTCTAAGTATGGTCTCGCAGGATCTCATTCTGGATTTCAGAAACACACATCTGTCAACCTGAGATCCACAACCCACAGATCTCTCAAAGAATTTGGTAACACTCAACACTTTTTAAAATGTGGCCAGAGAAGACATCAACATCACCTCCTACTTCAGAGAACTGGATTAGACATGGATTCAGTTTGTTGAGGGTATCAGACTCATACCTCCCATCACCACGGTGAGTGACCTGCAGGGTAAGAATAATGAGCATCTCTTACATTGAAGATGCATTCACTTAGCAATTGTTTAATATAACATATAAAAATAATTAGATGAGATTACTGGTAGAGTAGTTTAGGTTACAGTTAGACTTATTTAGGCAAGTAGACTAGTTTAGATTACAGGTCCTCTAGCTGTGTGCCTTTCCTCTAACAGTGGCCATAACCTTCTGCATCTCTCTGCTTTTGCTCTAGGACATGAAGGCTTCTTTTAATCATGCAATCCTCTCCAACCTCAGGTGAGACCTGTAGTAGTTGCTGTCCATCCCTGACTCTGGCCTTGCAGGGCTCCTTCTTGTGCCTCTGTCCCATGGGACTCATGGCTGCCCCTCACACAGAACATAAGGCTGTACAACATCTAGCTGGTCCACCTCAGAAACATGCTGTCATGGGTTAAGCCCAGCCAGTAACAAATCACCACAAAGCTGCTCTGGTGGGATGAGGAGGAGCAAATACAAAGAAAAGCTTGCGGGTCGAGACAAGGACAGGGAGGGATCACTCAGCATTTATGGTCACAAGCAGAAGACAGGTTCAATTTTGGGAAGAAACAAAATCAATTTAATTTACTACCAAACAAATCAAAACAAGGATACTGAGAAGTAAAACCAAACCTCAGAACACCTTCCCCCACCCCTCCCTCCTTCCCAGCTCAACCCCACTCCCGGTTTTCTCTCCCTCCTCCCCCCGGCAGCACAGGGGGACGGGGAATGGGGGTTGGGGTCAGTTCCTCCCCCCTTGTCTCTGCCGCTCCTTCCTCCTCAGGGGGAGGACTCCTCACTCGGTGCCTGCTCCACCATGGGGTCCCTCCCACGGGAGACAGTCCTCCACGAAATTCTCTGGCATGGGTCCTTTCCATGGGCTGCAGTCCTCCAGGCACAGCCTGCTCCAGCATGGGCTTTCCCCTGGAGTCCCGGCCATCTTGGGGGGCATCCATCCCCCTGCTCTGGCGTGGGCTCCTCTCTCCCCGGGCTGCAGGTGGGCATCTGCTCCCCCGCTCCCCTCCGTGGGCTGGGGGGGGACAGCCTGCCATCTGGTCTCCCCACGGGCTGCAGGGGCATCCCCTCCTCCCCCGCTCCTCCTCCCCTCCTTCCTCACTCCCCTCGGGATCTGCACAGGGGTTCCTCTCCCATTCCGATCCCCTCCCTCACTGCAGGTTTTTTCCCCTTCTGAACTCTGTTCTCCCAGAGGCGCTACCGCCGTCACTGACGGGCTCGGCCTGGGCCAGCGGCGGGTCCGACTCGGAGCCGGGGAAGCTTCTGGCAGCTTCTCACAGGAGACACCCCTGCAGCCCCTGCCCCGCTACCAAAACCCCGCCACACAAACCCATAACACATGCCTACATGCCTGTGCTCTGCTCATTCCATTCCTCACGCTCGTGTCCTGCCCGGAGATCATGTCTCTTACCACCAGAAAATGGTGAGGAACCACAATGGGCCAGCTTGTGTTCTGAGCTAATTCCATGGCCCACAAGAGGATTTTCCATCTTACGTCCCTGGGTGGCAGTGGGCATGGTTGTGTTCGTGGTGTGATTTACAGTCTTCTGCATCATGCCCTTGCAGTGAGAGGGAAGCTCAAGTTCAGCTGCAGATTAATTGAGGCAAGTTTCAGTTCTTCTCTGCCTCCTATGAAATTTCTTCTTGTGGATTTGGCTATACTTTTCATCTCTACAAGTCAATAAGAATGGCAGGTACAGAAGAAGTAAGGATGGGGCAAACTTGTCCCATGCTCTCCTGGCCTTCTCCAAGCTTACCATTTGTGGTTCAGGGCACAGAGCCAGGTATGACTTCTATACATACAGCAGTAATCACCAACAAGTTTATCCTACATGTACCTATCCATCCTTCCCTTTACCGTATTGGCTTTTAGCCTCCACAACATCCTTTGGCAAGCAGTAGAATCATCTCCTTTTGTTTTGAACCTGCCTCATTGTAGTTTCATTTTATGTACCTTAGAGTTTGTATTGAAAAAGACACAAAATCCCTTTCTACTCTCCTGTTTGTGCCATTCATGATTTTACAGATCTCTGTAATATCCCTTCTAGGCTGCCTGTTTTCCAGACTGAATTTTACTCAGTTTCTCCCCATATGAAAGCTATTCTATAACTTCTGTCTTGCAAGCACAGCCAGAATTACCTATGGCATTTATTAACTTTTAAAGTTTCACT